TGGTATGAATACAGCCAGCATCTTTTTAATCTTATGATTAAGTAAACAATGAACATTGTGCCATTTTTTGCTATAAAAGACAATATTGTTAATTAATATGATGCAGAAACACAGACATTTCAAGAAGAAAATGTCTTTGGTGCCTGTATAGTACTTGAAGCTCATCCTCTGTTTTGTCCAAGCTCTACATCTTCTGCAATTCTATTAAGTAGGTCTATGCAGAAATGTTTGACAGAAGATTTAACCTCAACTTCTCTTTGATTAGTTTGGCTTATAGAAGAATAATTTGTGGGACTGAGTTGTGTGTGCCATTGCTTATCCCATGGTACACTGTCATATGTAACTTTTATTTGGAGGGCTATGTCCTCTCTAGCTCATCAGTTAGCCCAGACTCAAGCTGTATTTTATTCCTTTAATCTTTTTATCACTTTTTTATAAATCAAAACATCTGCACTAAGTGATCATTTTTACTATTCTGTTCTGAACTCTCTCCAGTCAGTCAATATCTTTGGGTATGTAGGCATCTGGAATAGTAAATCATTTTCTGAAAGCAGCCTCTGAAGAACCATATAAAAAGCAACTTACACATCTATTCTCTGTGAATGTTGATCTTCAGATACAGCCAAAACATCACATTAACTATTGAAATGACAAACTCATCTCTTTTCAGTATATTTCTTCCGGATTGCATGCTGCTCTCACTCTTTGTACAAGGGAGTATGAAAGCATAAAATAACTGCTCTTTTCCAGAAACCCTTGCACAGCTCAGCAACTGTGTCAACTCAGTGAATATAATTAGAGATTCAGAGGCTGTGAAAAACCACTGAGAAGTGTGGAGGGGGGAGTAGCTGTAGGCATGCAGAAGAGCTGGCTGCCTGTGGAAAAGGGAGCGTGAGCATCCCGGGAAAACACCACAGTAAATTAGTCAGCACAGGCCAGGTGCTGCAGCAGGCGCTGTGTACCATCACCTCTGCGAGGAGCCCTGCCTTCCCTGCTCTCCTAGAGGTAGGACAGGAAACAGTGTTTTACTCCTCCTTACTCACAACTCTATCCAAAGTCACAAATTCGTTCCTTCACATAGGGCAGTCCCTGCATGACTGTCTATTAAACAGACAACTGTTTCCAAACCTTATCATAATTAAACACACCCAACCACTCCACAACTCTGCTTATATAAGACATAAAAGAAAAGAAAAC